GCAATTCTTAATTAACCATTTTAAACAAAGACCTACAAAAGGGAAAATATTACTAGAAAATATGAAACACTAGAAAATTTGTTTAATTATTGTTATTTAACTGATACAAAGAAAAGGATGAATAAGTTATAGAGGTGAGTGTATGAGTGTTCACAACAAAAACTGAACTCGATGAAAACGCGGGTCCTCTCAAAATAAGCACTATCTGAAGTAGAATTATCGGGCGCTGCGTGTGCTCAACACGTGCACAGGTGTCCATGTGCACGTGGCCCAATAATTCGGCAAACTTTGTTTAACTTGTAATTGTTGGCAAATCCACGATAAGAATAAATAACGTACATGGCAAGTAGGCTTAACTGCGAGATCCGGCCTACCGGTCTACATAAAAGCGCCTACCCCACCCCCCACATCACTTTTGCATGCAAGAAACCCAAACCTGTTTACTCGTGGGTGTAAGTGGCATGGCAAATAGGTTTACTCTTATGATTTGAGTGTATGTAAATCTAGGAAGGGTGTTTAAGTCAATGCATAATCAGTTCATCGATTTTTTATGAGAGCCTTATTTATCCCTCATAATTTGTAACGAGTCCAATAAATCAGAGGAAGAGATTGAGCGTGTGTCAGTTAAATGTCAAGCGAATCTCAGCAACCATAAAGTTTTTGCCAGGTTTTAGTAATCATTCAGCACTGTAATGCATTATTAACACATACATCAAGCTAGAGGAAGAACTGTCAGGACTAAGTACTTTCAGGGATTTTAATAAATGCGAAGAAAAGTCAGAGATAAATCACCTAGGCCGATGGTTCTCAAACGTTTCAGATTCGCGTACCACTTTTTAATTTTTTAAATTACAAACCCAGGCCTAATTTAAAAAATATATAAAACCTAGTAACGAAAAGTCATATTTCTAACACTAACCCATTAATGCGAAGGATGCGATTGTTTTGTTTTTTCTGGCACGATTGAAGAATATGTGGTACGATTTTTGTGAATTATAAGGGAAGAAAATACTGGTGAGTCTATGTAAGTAGAGGGTGTGTTTGTAAGTGAAAATACTGGCGAGTCTATGTAAGTAGAAGGTGTGTTTGTAAGTGAAAATACTGGCGAGTCTATGTAAGTAGAGGGTGTGTTTGTAAGTGAAAATACTGGTGAGTCTATGTAAGTAGAGGGTGTGTTTGTAAGTGAAAATACTGGCGAGTCTATGAAAGTAGAGGGCGTGTTTGTAAGTGAAAATACTGGTGAGTCTATGAAAGTAGAGGGTGTGTTTGTAAGTGAAAATACTGGCGAGTCTATGTAAGTAGAGGGTGTGTTTGTAAGTGAAAATACTGGCGAGTCTATGTAAGTAGAGGGTGGGTTTGTAAGTGAAAATACTGGCGATGTTTATGTAAGTAGAGGGTGTGTTTGTAAGTGAAAATACTGGTGAGTCTATGAAAGTAGAGGGTGAGTCTATAAGTGAGGAGAGTAGTATGTATATGTACGTGGAAAGCTCAGATAAGGTTTATTACAAATTTTGTAATTTTTTATATTAACTGTGACATTAGTTCCACACACCACAGTTTGAGAATCCCTGACCTAGAGCATGTACAGCATCTTTTGGTTTTATATTCAAATAATTAGTTACCTTAATTACACATAATTTAAATATATTTCTACTCGTTTCTTTTTTATTGATTTTTTTTGTAATCTGTTTGTTTAGCAATTAAGCACAAAGCTACACAATTGGCTATCTGTGCTCTGCCCACCACGGATATCGAAACCCGGATTCTAGCGTTGTAAGTCCTCAGACATACCGCTGTGCCACTGGGGGGGGGGGGTGTATTCTAGAATCTGGAATATATAAGCAAATAACGCGCTCAGCATATATAATTTAAGCCGAGGATGATTCAGGGTTATTTCATTTATATTCACACAATGTACATGTTTGTAGCTAATGCAACTTAGGCCTAGGGTACTTAGGACTACTTTTTCCAAATCTTAATGCTTTTCTAGGAAGTTAGGTAACTATCAAAAATACAAAAAACTCTACGGAAGGTTGCCTTCAAAAATTCTTTAATCCGCAAAACAAATTAAAACACTTTAACGTGACACTGCTGGCGCGTGACACTGCTGACGTGATGAATTTCTCGAATGATCATGAATGATCGAGGAAGCTCGAGTTTGTTCGAGACGCCTTCTTTTATGGTATATATAAGCCTGGCAGTGAAAGCCTGGAAAAATGAATGTATGATAAAGCGAACAGTAGTCACGGTAAGTTTCGGGCGAAATTATCGAGATTGTGAATCGCTGTGGTTTATAGCATGTATTATAAAAGTTGTTAAGTTTAACGTACTGATTGTGTGGTAAAAGTTTGTATCGAGAAAGAATAAAGTGGATTAATCAAGAATGGACTTGTATCACTCAAGTTACTCGGAAATAATTTATACTGTGGAGAGCAAAGACATATGAAGAGCCAGTGTAAGAAAAATACAACCAATAAATCAGCTTTGGGAAACTAGTAGTGGTTGGTGTTGAGGGACACCCACCAACCCCCATTGTGAAAGTCCCAACAGCTAAGTCTAAAATGGCAAGCACACATAGTGTCTACGTGACAGGAAAGCTGGATGGCCAAAAGTGCAACTTTGTCATAGATTCTGCATCTCAGCAAACCCTTGTGAGTAATAAGGTGCTAGATCACAAGATGTGGAAGGATGGTGCAGGACCTGCAGTACATGTTGTGCTAAAAGGAGACCCAAGCATAAGGGACGTGCTCCAATGAAGTAGCCATTGACATTGCTGGTCTTTTGCCCCAAACTCGTGCTGGAAACAGGTACATTT